AAAACACCCATACGTCAATAAACTGAACCTTTAAAATCAGTCTTTGTAAATAGCAATAGCAGTTAGACTTATCTACCGCTTCATAGGGCTTTCAGCCCTCTCTAAGCGGTTTACAGAGTCAGCATATTGCCCCCAACAACAATCTGGGTCCTCATTTTACCCACCTCGGAAGGATGGAAGACTGAGTCAACCCCGGTGAGATTTGAACAGCCGAACTGCAGAATTGCAGTCAGCTGAAGTAGCCTGCAGTGCTGCATTTAACCACTGCGCCACCTCGGCTCTTTGTTCTAGGTTGCTTCTCTCCTTGATTCATAAGAGATTTTCCTTAAAGTACCTATTTCCTACAAATGTCCAAGTTGCGATTTAAAATCGAAGTTCCTTCTACAGAGGAAGCAAAGGTGGTGTCCTTCATGACAGAAAGATCCTCTATCATTCCAGACAATCATCTGTTGGGGTCTCTTCTTATAAAAGCCTCCAGTGATGGAACTCCCACAACTCCTGGAGACAAGCTTGTCTTCATAATTCTTTGCATCCCATTTTCCTGTTCTTTGTTTTTCTTTTTTCCCCCCCAACAATAAATGGCAGAGCTGTGAAAAAAGCATCTCTCCTGAGAACATAATAATGGATTGTAGGGTTGGGGTAAAAGGTCAGTTTCTCTTGGAGTGGGAAATAAAATAAAAAGGGGCCAAGTTTTAGTTCACACAGAAACACAGAGAGAGAGGGGGAGAGAGAGGGAGAAAGAGAGAGAGAAAAGGGGAAGGTGGAGGTAAAGAGAGGGAGAAAGAGAGAGAAAGAGGGGAAGAGAGAGAGAGAAAGAGAGAAAGGGAGGAAAAGAGAGAGGGAGAGAGATCAGGGAGAGGGAGGGAGGAAGAGAGCAGGAGGGGGAGAGAAAGCAAAGGAGAGAGAAAGAGAGAGAAAGAAGGGGAAGACAGAGAGAGAGGGAGGGAAAGAGTGAGCGAGAGAGAAAGAAATAGAGAGACAGAGAAAGAGAGAAGGAGAGGAGAAAGACAGAGAGAGGGAAGGAAAGAGAGAGAGTGAGAGAAAAAAAGAGGGAGGGAAAAAGAGAGGGAGGGGAAGGGAGGGAGAGAGCAGGAGGGGGGAGAGAAATCAAAGGAGAGAGAAAGAGAGAGAGAGAAGGGGAAGACAGAGAGAGAGGGAGGGAAAGAGCGAGAGAG